TGGTAAAATTTTTCACTGTTGTGAAACTGGCGTTATAGTAGGCAGACATTTCCTTTCAAGTTCCTTAAAAATCCTTGGGTCTCATTTGAAGAAATACATTCCAGCGTTAGCAATATTCTTACAACCTCGCACTTCTCTGGTGTCCTGTACCTTTTCCAAATCCGTGACCTCATCCGATCCTTCTATTCTTCCTCTGAAGTGTGTGTAATTGCCTTTATTCTGTGCGAACAGAAGTCGTAAACTGCAGACATGTGAAAGGTATTATAAGCGTAATATCCTCATGGATGCACCTTATTTTCACACCCAAGTTAACAGGAGCAGGTTTATAAATATCTATTTAGAAGTCTCTACCAGCTGCCTAGAATGAGAAAAATCTACAGACTCCACCTCATTCAGTGTTGGTAACTTATTTAACATTTTTTTTTTTTGAAGAGGTTTTTGCTATAAGGCGCATGCGCTTGCCAGAAAGACAGAGACAGAGAGACAGAAAGCAAGAAATCATGCCCCCCCCCCCCACCCCAGAGGGGATGGCCATGCCACAATCCCTTCTTCTCCATTCTCCTCTCAGGATCTTGGGCATGCACACATACGTGCCTGGCGTGAGTTTAAGCCACCGGGTCTAAGACTCGAACCACAGTCGACTACATGGGAGTCCAGAGATACAACCGTTATGCCAACTGCTGGTCTCTTATTTAACATTATTAAACATTCAAAATAAGTATTCTACTTCTCTTACCTCTTTAGCACCTAAATATGCAATAAGGTAAAAGGAGGAATGATTGTTTTATTTCTTTTCAGCTACTTAGTTATATGAGTTCAAAAGTAACTATCTCTCCCCTCCTCTTTATTGCTAATGTTTTACAAGAACAAATTTTAGGCCAAACAAAAAGAATGATATTACTCAGTTAAAACATTACTCACTAGCATAAAACATTTTACCATTTTGTTTTAAAGGAGGGAACTTCTAGTTGAGTAATAGTTCCAATAGAGGTGGTTTTCTTTTTTTTTTTTTTTGCTATAAGGCACATGCACTTGCTGGAGGGAGGGAAGGAAGTGAGAAATCACCCTTTAGGGGGATGGCCATGCTTCAATCTCTTCTCCTCCATTCTCCTCTGGGATTTGGGCATACACACACACCTGGCGTGTTTTTCAGGCTGCTGTGTCCAGGATTCAAACCTGTGCAGTTGGCCATGTGGGCTCCAGTGCCTTAACCACCATGCCACTAATATTTAAAAAATAAATTTACATATTTATTATACTCTAGGATACCATACAATTTAAGTCTGAGCCTCTTTCTAGATTAACTTAGATACATTAATTACCTGGTCATATTAAACCAATTAATAATTTTGAGCTATTAAAATAAACAAAAACATTCTGGCTTTAAAACTAAATTAATGCTTTGGCTGTGGCCATATATAGATGTACCTTTTACCTAGGACCTAAAATTTGAACACCAAGAATGATTCTACACATTTAAGAGTAATGTGTATATATAGTTACCCAGTACCTTTTGACACTCAAGTACAGATACCCCTAGGCAAATGCTTCTATTAGGGAGTGGGGAACATCACAGCATAGGAACATCATGACATATTTTTCTATGCAAAAATGTGTCATGACTTTCCAGACAACCCAATCTATGACTTAAAATAAGTAAGTGCAATGGAACATCTCTGGTGTGTCACCACAATTCCTGTCTACTACCAAATCTAAGTTAATATAAAAAATTATATTAAATATTTTTATATAGACATATTTTTAAAATTTTACTAACTCAGGGACCAGCAGTTAGCGTAATGGCTATGTTGCTGGACTCCCATGTGGTCAACCAGGGGTCGAATACCGGACCTGGTGGCTTAAAACTCACGCCGGGCACGTGTGCATGCGTGCTCAAGATCCCAAGAGGAGAATGGAGGAGAAGGGATTGTGGTGTGGCCATCCCCCCTGGGGGATGATTTCTTGCTTTCCATCTCTCTGTCTCTGTCTTTCTGGAGAGCGCACGTGCCCTATAGCAAAAACCTCTCCAAAATAAAAAAAAAAAATTAAAAATTAAAAAAAAAAATTACTAACTCAAAAAAAATTTTAACAACTCATGAGGGCTTCATTTATCTATACATTTTAGCTTTTATTTCTCTGGCAGGCATAAAAGAGTTGTTGTGATTGTTTCCTAATATAGGAAGATCCCGTATATATTCCTGAAGTACTTCTATGTTAAGTGTGCTAATTTAACCACTAAGGCCCAAATCTGGGCCTGACACAAGGAGGCTACTCAATCAATATGCCTACTGAAAGAATGAGAACTTCTTCTGCACGTGCACCCTTTTGGCAAATAATTTCAAGCAACAATATTTTAAGAAAGGAAGCAGTGTGGGAACATTTCTGATCTGTTTTGTGAGTCGTAAAAAAAAAGAATGCCTTGGGGACCGGCAGGTGGCATGGTGGTTAAGGGCGCTGGACTCCCACATGGCTGACCACGGTTTGAGTCCCGGACCTGGCAGCTTGCTTTCTCACTTTCCTTCTCTTTCTCTCTCTCACTCTGTCCTTCTCTGGTAAAATTAAAAGAAAGAAAGAAAGAAAGAAAGAAAGAAAGAAAGAAAGAAAGAAAGAAAGAAAGAAAGAAAGTTAGTTAAATAAAATAATTCTTAAAAACAATGTCTTGGGAACCAGCAGTTACCGTAATGCTATGTCGCTGGACTCCCATGTAGTCGACCGTGGTTCGTGTCCCGGACCCGGTGGCTTAAAACTCACGCCGGGCACGTGTGCGTGCGTGCCCAAGATCCCGAGAGGAGAATGGAGGAGAAGGGATTGCGGCGTGACCATCCGCCCTGGGGGGTGATTTCTCGCTTTCTGTCTCTATGTCTCTCTCTGTCTGTCTGGCGAGTGCATGCGCCCTATAGTGAAAATCTCTCCAAAAAAAAAAAAAAAAAAAGTCTTTAATTAAGAATAATTCCAATAGTCAACAAACATTTAAGGCAGTGCTCTGAGTCTTGAGAGAATTCTAAAAGGAAGAAGACATCTTGCCTTAACAGGCTTACTCCATAAATCAAGAGAAAAAACCCATACACCACAAAGAAATCAGAAAGAGAGCTAATGTTTACACAGTTTCACTTCAGCTGCCCTCATTCCCCAAGCCATATTTTATTAGCATCATTCAACCCCAAATTTATAATATGCTCTACCACTCAAAATAGCTATTTTCTAACATAGTTACCAGCTCTAGCTCTAAACAGAACCAAAACAAAACAGTATTTAAAAATATCTATAAAAGGCTATTTCATAAGAATTCAACTCTATACTTTCATATAAATCCAAGAACTTCAATTATTTAGTTATTTTAAAGTTTATTTGCATGTTAGATTAGCTCACACATCAAGACCATAAAAGGATGGATACATAAATGCGAATGCTTACCCCCAAATAACAAAACAATACAAAAACTTGGTGGATCTTACTGTATGAGGAGGTTAAGTATCCACAGTAAAGAAGAGAGTCAAGATCAGTACAGCTCGTATATTTCTATTCTTAGAAAATGACACTCGAATGAGAAATCAGCTGTGTGGAAACAGTTACTTCTCAGGAATTCCGTAATTCCCCAGTAACTTTCCACTATTAGAGTAATATACTCAAATAAAAGATTAAAACATGAGATGAAGGGTTGAAATTGTGGGAAGAATCTAGAAAACCAGATAGTCACTTCTATTTGTTTATGCTAGATTTATGTCTTGTTTACTTTTGATCAAGCTAGTTCTTTATTTGTTTTTAAATAGCAATCTTCCTAAATACTCTACAAATGGAGTTAGAAGCAATCCAAAAATTTTTGACATAATGATCATTTTTGGACAGTTTCAATAATATCTTATTGTGCCTATTGTTTCTATTCCTGGTCTTCAAATGAGCTCCCATGAACTATCATTAGTATCATCCCTCTAGACTAAACAGAAAGGAGGAAAGGCAAACAGGGCCCAGTCATCAACAGGATGCAAGGAAATGCTGCACAGTTAACAGACAGTAGGGTGTACTCTTTCGGAAACACTCACTGTGCACCTACTGTGGGCCAGAGGTCCTCTCATCACTTAGGGAGAGCACATGTGTGCACGCCGGGTAATGCAACGATGGTGCGAACAAAGTTCCAAGGAGTGGAAAATGAGAATAAATGAGGGAGCCAGGAGAGTTGAAGGTAACATAAGCACTGAGCTTTGAGGTTGATAAATAAGGACGTTTATGAACCACCATGGGTGGAAGTGCATTTTAGACACATGGAGAGCCACCTGGAAGTGCTGTGTAGGGACATACATGGCTGACTACGGTTTCAATCCTGGCCCCCAGCAATGAGAAAAACATGCCAGGTGCATGTGCATGCAGGCCCCAAATCTTGATGGGATGGAGAAGCAGAGGAAGGATTGTGATGTGGCCACGCCCCATTGGTGCTGCTTCCTCTCTCTCGGATTGTGATGTGACCACGCCCCATTGGTGCTGCTTCCTCTCTCTCTCTCTCTCTCTCTCTCTCTCTCCTTTTCTTGCTGGCCAGCACATACTCTCCGACAATTAAAAAAGAGATTAGACAGATGGGAAGCATGAGCAAAGATCCAAAGTAAGAAACACCAAGACCATCATGTGGGAAGATCTTGGATCGGATCCAATGGATGCTAAATGAAAAATGGGGACATTGTGTCATGACACAGTGACAGAGCCAAAGTCAGGATCCTCAACTGGGAAACAAGAGGCTGAAGTCCAACCTGAGCTCAAATAACGGCTCACAGGAGGGCCTTAATTCTGTTCCTCTGCTCTTAGGACTAATAAACTAAAGAGAAAAATTATGAAATGGTAGCCAAGGGGTGGTATATTCACTGAGGAAGAAGAGTAGCTCTTCTTCCAAGGGAGAGAATGAAAGCCTTTGCACATTCCATCTGAAAACGCCCACGTGTATCCATGAAAGGACCTTAATTCCAGGCATCAACAAGTATTTCCAAGTTAATCAAGAAACGAACCATCCCTACCTGGTTTTGGAATGATTATGATTACAAGGGTTCCAGAACCACTGGATTGTAGGTTGAGGGATTCCATATGCGGTACAAGTCAGGATTTGTCTGCTGCCCAGGGGGTAGAGTGGCGGGTCTGGAAATGATGAGATGGCCTTTTCATATATCTGGGGTTTCACTGGAAAAAAGACGAAGAACGGGACAGAAGTCAAGAGCAGTTCCAGTGACGTTGTTCTGGCCCACACATGAAGGACAACAGCCTCACTGGTTTGGATGTCAGGGAAACACAGAAACAAAAAAAACAATTATGTCTTCATATTTGTCAAGAAAATGCCATTTTTTTTTTAAACTAGAAATGTTCTGAAAACATCAATAACTTGATTCCATGGTAAGTACGCTCTGATTACGACAATAAAAAAGTCACATTGCCTAAGGAAGATCACAAACATGAAATAGTTACGATGGGAATAGAAGTGACTTTAAAATATCTAAAATTAATTTTCTTTGATGTTGTTATACTGACTTTTGAACTGACGTACTTTCATAAAGTTTCCCCCTCCCAGAACCAGTTGGAGTATAAACAGTAAACTTACAGAAACAAAAAATACAATTATGTCTTCATATTTGTCAAGAAAATGCCATTTTTTTTTTTAAACTAGAAATGTTCTGAAAACATCAATAACTTGATTCCATGGTAAGTACGCTCTGATTACGACAATAAAAAAGTCACATTGCCTAAGGAAGATCACAAACATGAAATAGTTACGATGGGAATAGAAGTGACTTTAAAATATCTAAAATTAATTTTCTTTGATGTTGTTATACTGACTTTTGAACTGACGTACTTTCATAAAGTTTCCCCCTCCCAGAACCAGTTGGAGTATAAACAGTAAACTTACCATTTACAATCAGAGTGGCAGTGAGGTTTTTAAACACATTTGACTGCTTGATGCTCAGCAAGATGGTATAATCCCCTGCATCCTCTGCAGTTACGTCTTTGATAATTAGTGAATAGCCATGAACCAAATAACGAGCAGATTTCTCAGCTGCAGGTAACCCATCTTTTAACCTGTAGTTAAAGGCATGATCAGTAAGTCATTTTACACTACCTCATAGCATCGCTTTGACAACACTGTCACCTAAATTTGTGAGTACAAGCGCATCAGTGTCAAGCGTTTGATCATCAACATCAATTTGAAAATTTCAGGCACTAACTTTCCAGGAAAGGCAAGTGTGATTTTTAGAGTGTGCAACTCTTCATATTTATTGGCAAAGAATAAGAAGTAAACTGAGGGAAGAAGAAAAAGTAGAGGTCTAAAGTAACCACAAGGAAGCTGGTGGCCATTGTGATTTAAGTATTAACCCAGAGGCACCAGTTCTAATTCTACCCGAGATGTTTTCCAGAGTTTTCCATGAGACTCCATCAACAGTACAAGGGCCATTGTAAAGTCAGATCAACTAGATCACTTCTCCAGATAAAAATAAAAATAGACTTCTCTATTGTGGTCTCATGTGGAGTTCTTATTAGTTATTTAAATGGTCACACCAGTTGTCCTTTTCATAAACTATAGTCAAATCAAGATTGTCAAGATTTTTCCCCCCGAGGAAGAATAATTAAAGCACAAAACAACAGAAAGGATAAACTTAAATTAAAAAAACATTTCAAATATAGAATCAATGCCTTGATATCAATCAATAGTGGCCAGAACTGAGAGCTTGGGGGCCTGAATTCTTGACCTGGCGTTGGTGCTCACACTATGCACTGCAGTAGCCACTTAGAACTTCAGTTTTCTCAAATCTTCTAGAGTTCTCAGTGATTCCCCTTTAACTCTCAAATTCTATGATTTCATGAAAATGCACAGATCTTTAAATGGGTATTTTTAATCAGCCAAAAGTTTGGGTTTTGTGTAAAGATGTAAGGTTGGGAATGGTATTAGTTCATCATCACGCTTGTATTACACAGTCCTGCTCACAGATTCCCATAACCACTGGTTCTCAGACCCAAAGCACATAAAATGACTATGCTATATTTCATGATTATGGATACTGTCTTCATATTATTTTCAGTTATTTCCTGTGAATAAGTCAGCATTTTTGAAGGTGAGTTGAATCCTTTTACGGGCCTAGCAGCTCAGTTACTGATGGGATCAGCACTACCAGATGAGGGTACTCACAAATACTGGGATGGTAAGTGTACCTCGTAGAGTCATGAAATTACTATCAAGTTTACTATTTAAAAAATTTACTATTAAACTTTTTAAATATTATGAAACAAATAACATATTTCCTGCTATGATGGCCTAAAGGCATGGCACAAAGTTTAATCTCTTTAATCCTCTGTTGCTTTTTTTTTTTTTTTGCCTTAAAGCATGTGTGTTGTAGGAAAGAGAGAGAGAGACAGACACAGTGAGAGGGAAAGTGAGAAATCACTCCCCAGGGGGGATTTCATGGTGTAATCTCTTCTCCATTCTCTTCCCAGGATCTTGGATACACTCATACATGCACCCAGCATGATTTTCAAGCCAATGGGTATGGGACTTGAACTATGGTCAGTCATGTGGAAGTCTAGTGATGTAACCACTACACCATTTGCTGGTCCCTCTATTAAGTACCTGAGGAAACTAAAAACAAACATTACACTTATATGACAGTGAAAACCAATAAACTCTGGTTGAGGAGATTCTAAAATGACCCCACTTTTGTATTTGTATGGTTTGTTTTTCTAGCAGTTTTGTACTATACCCTTTGTTTAAAGGGTAATAACTTGAGCCAAAGTTATTGGCATTTAAAAGTAATTTAATAAAATGACTGCAGATTATAAAGATAACATTGTTTTACATCAGGTGTTATACTAGTATTTTTTTTTTTTTTTTTGGTAACTACTTAAGGAGTTTCTGAAAATGCAACTATCAGGCCAAAAAAAAAAAAAAATACTTAACTTGTTCAAGTAGGTCCATTTATCCATCCTACAGATGAGTAGTCTTGTCTCTATTAATGTTTGTTTAATTTTAAAACAAGACTGGAACTTTCAAGCCAACTGTATATAAAAGAATTATTTTCAGCATCCTCATTACAAGGGCCCACTTCTTCAGGGTTAATAGAGCATGTTACATATTCAAGATGCTTCCTAGTCACTGGCCAACACATCCCATTCAAAGAATGTTGACATCATAGGAAGGTTTAGAAATGCAGAAATTTAGTGACAGTGAGGGTCTGACTAAACTGAAGAGCACTGAAAAAAACCCTCATCTCTTCATCTTATTACATTATCTCCTTTCCCCTTCATTCTTCTCACCTCCACCACCTAGAAATCAATACAGTTCTTGACTCTCTAGTGCTATCTGAGGAGCTTCTCTCGTTATTTTGTCAGGAATTCAAGTCAGTGAACTTTTGCATCTTCCTACTTACAAGGCATAACTTAAACTGATATGAAAATAATTATGGTCCTACCATACAACTTCTGGTGAGGGAAATGCCTTCACTTTCATAGAGAGCCGGTAAGACCTCTTGCCAGCTACGGTTTCAAGCACCTGCTGTTTTCGATGTTTCACAGTGATGAATGCTTTTTCTTTGAAAGGAGAAGTGATAAATACATTAGAAAAGAACATATTATGAAAACGAAATCTCACTGCCTCACTAAGGGAGGGGGTAATCAATGAATAAATAAACAGAGCATGATTAAGCCTATGAGTGTGCCTAAACATTGATCAATGAATGAAGTACTTCAACAGCACCCTAACTGGTAAAATACTTTCTCATCAAATGGCAATAAGTTCTAGGGACATAAGACAGTGCAGGGTCACCAAAAATAAAACACCTTAAATATTTATATCACAGTAACACAAGAGTAGGAAGGTATTTCTAAAAATCTCCTTGGCCGATTTGAGGAAGATGGGAGAAAGTTGCTCTGGGCACCTAAAATAACAATTTGATATAAAAAATTAACTGGAGCAACCCAAATGTAAATAAAAGGCTACTGTTGGAATTGTTCTATAATTTCTACTCTTCACACTGTTTTTCTTTTTAACCATGTAAATAAATCAGTTTTTTTAAAAAAGCATTTTCTCTACAGAATTTGAGTACTGGAATTAAGCAACAATATTAGGATTCCATGATGGTAAAATCAGGGATAAAACAGCATTAGTTCTAAATAATTTATCATGCCATATTTTTATTTCTTTAATTCATGCTAGTACCTGGGAAAGTTATTTCCTAGATAATAAAGGTAAAATTGATGATGCTTCTCTGTTCTGTTTATACAGAACACTATAAAAGTATTTCATAAAAATCTTATGATGTCATTGAATTATTAATCATCATAAACTTCTAAAGAAAAGACCTTCTGTCCAGTTCAAAATTAAAGAGTACTTAATGGGATTTGCTTTTTGGCATGGGGGAGGTGGGAGCCATGTCAAAGTTGTATTCATTCATGACACTGTTGCTTTTGACCAAAACAAAATGAACTTGTTTACAGAACTCCAAAATCCACCCTGATGAGAAAGCATAGTATGAGTTGGCAACACTGAGCTACTGCTTACCATATATATGCACTGAAGTGTTAACGGATTTGAGGGATGGCCCAGTTTTCACATGGCAAGTATAAAGTCCTTTGTCTCTGCTCTGCACTTTGTCGATAATCAGAATACTGTAGAACACATTGGCAAAGGGATCGTTTCGGTCCATTCGTCGCCTGATAGAAGCTCTTCTATTTGTCTAGGAAGAAAACGTAAGACAAATGTAGAAGTTGTCATTTTTCATGCTTAAAGTCATGGCCTTATAGCATTTCTCATCATTATTTTGACAACAGCTCCTTTTTGATGCTAAGAAGCATATCAAGTCTACACAAAGCAAGATGTTTGGAGATGACATCTGTCTAGATGTGCTTCAAACGTGAAGCATGGCAGCACTTACTTAGCAATTAATTTTCTTCAAATGGACCTTCACAAATATTAGCTCAATTGTTTTTCACAACATGTAGTGAGACGGGCAGAATGATTGCCCTTTTACTGATGAAGGAACTGAAATGACAGAGATATAGGCCAAAGTAGGCCAGGCATTCAGATCTTTTGAGTATAAATCTAGTTTTTAACTCTAGCACATACACCTCTCTCAACAGTAACCTATTCTCTAGGCATGGATATCACACACTAATACGGACAATGATCATCTCTAGTATCTGGCTTAGTGGCAAGTGTCTCTCTTCATGAATCACCTTTTGCTTCTCTACTAGAAATGAAAGAAAAGATAATGAATCCTGGCCACACCTACTAAGGTGGAATAAATTTAGTTTTATTGTTTCACCATTTGAGCAATACTTGCCAATTTCTGTTCATAGTAAATGGATCTAGAGACATGGAAGACAAGTTTAGCCCTCACTTGCAGGGTGTTTACCTCTGGGAAGACCAAAGGAAGACCTTGGGGCTCAGCAGGCTAAACTGGCCACAGTGACCCGTTCACTGTTTTGAGATGAGATCTTATTGCCTTTTCCTTTTATTGTTCCTGCCTCCGTTGTTGTTGTTGTTGTTGTTTTTAGCATTACATTTTATAACACATAATATGTTATTTCCTCCTTTCAATCTGTCCCCAATGGGGCAGGGAAAGGGTGGGGTGGAAAAAGACTTTGGAAGCTGTGAAGAACTGATCTTTAGGTCTTAAACTTAGGTGTGTTCTGTGCCATGTTTAATAAATGCCCACCCTCCTTTCCTTTAGTTTCTCTGTCAGAACAGACACATGTTTAGGCCCTGCTCTTCATTCTCAGCATTAACCAAAGAGAAAAGTCAGTCGCTGCCATCAAAAGTCAAAGCATCAGTCCCTCAAAATAACACGTTGAGGGGACTTTCCGCAAATTTTTGTGTATTACTCTTCCCTTTGATGACTCTTTTCTTTCCAAGTTTGAGTACCATCAGTATCATTTCTGACTTGGATTAACAGCTGTTCCTGTGTTTTAGACTTGCCTGGTCCAGTACTACAGTCTCCACTTACAGGTTTAAGTTAAAGTAAAACAAAATTTAGAATTCAATTCCTCAGTCATACCAGCTACACTCAAGTGCACATGAGCAGTATGTTGCTCTCTTTCATAGAAAGTTCTGCTACACAGTCCCTTTCAAGAAAGATTAGGGCATCCTGGGGCCAGCAGGTGGTATAGTGGCTAAGGGCTGGATACCCCCACATGACTGACCACAGTTCAAGTCTCGGACCTGGTGGCTTGCTTTCTTACTTTCCTTCTTTCTCTCTCTCTCTCTCTCTATGTCTCTCTGGTCAAATTAAAATAAATGAATGACTAAATAAAATTAAATAAATAATTCTTAAAAAAGAAAAAAGAGACACTCGAACTTTACCAACAGCCACAAGATTAAAAAAAAGAAGAAAAGGCATTCAAGAGTAGTAGAGAGGTCTTCAGAAAATCCATGGGGAATTATAAAAAAAAAATTATGCATGGATTTCAAACTCTTTATGCCATAATAAACTCATACTTTCATTCCATTTTCCCACAAAATTTCAAAAGTTCCCTTGTACTCGCAACACTGCTTCAGCAGCAACATTAACGAGATCCAAGTTCCTTTCCTCTTGACATTTATCTCTATCAAAACCCAGAAAATACTACTATAAGTCATAGCATTGTTAGTTAAATGAAACAATACCATCTTCTACAAAATAGTTAATTTTAAGGACCAGCAAGTCCTTAATGTGTCCCTATAAGACATTTGTTATATTTTCTGGATGCTAAATTATTCTGTTGGGTTGCCAGGAAAATCATGACGTGTTTTTCTGTGTAAAAAGCATCATGACTTTCCTTGATAGTCTACTATTGCCATGGCAAGAAACGTTAATGAAAAACAACAGCTTGGGGCTCATGCATTAATTTTCGTACATAATTTAATCGTGAATTAGCTTGGTGATTGGGCGATCTGAATAACACTTGGACTTGGGATGTGCCACATAAATCAGACCAACACACGAGAAATGAGGGCTGGAAATACTGTCAAAATTTCCATAACAGTTTATCATAGCTTCCTCACCCATACTTTTTACAGATAATTATTATTTGCAGAAATATTCAATTCAATTAAGGGAGCCCAACTGTCATTCTTCTCATTTTTCTGGAGGGCAGAATTGCTCCTTTGACACTTTTCAAATGGAATATTGGATGGCTGGGTTGCCATATCTTTTCCAGACACGCTCCAATCGGGTGCCTGACTGTCTGCCAGTATCTTGAATGAATGCACCGACAAAGAGCACTTCCTGAAAAATCGTTGTTGTTATTACAAAAGGCAGTCCTTGCCTGGCATTTAGTGATAAAATTTCTCTCTCATCTCTAAATCCTACAGAATAGTTTCCAAGGATGAAACAATCCCCTTTTCCATCCAGAATCATGCAATAGAAATACCAGCCTATATACTTCAAAACAAGACCTCCAGACATCAAAAGACAGTATCTATGCATATCACACTCACGAAATGCCAGGCAAGGAAAGCACCCAAACCAAGTCCAAAGCTCCTTTATGGACTAACACTGCCACAGAAGCCAGACCTTACGGATTATTCCCATCTCAACAACCCAATGAGGATCTCACTTGCTAAAAATAAATATTGTCCTGCAGAAGAAGTAGAAAAATGGGTCACTCACTTCACCAGGGTAACTCCAGGTCATCTGAACTCTCGTGTTCAAGGGAGTGGTAGCAGTACAGTTGAGGGTGAGAGTATGACCTCTAAGTAACTTGACTGGGCTTGGCGTGCTCATTTGGACATCTATGATTGTATTGGCTACAAGCATACAAGAGAAAATTATTTTTTAATTCAGATTTTATTGAGCAGATAAAACAGAGCATTTTGGCTTATGTTCAGGTCTTTGGAATGTCACTTACTTTGTCGATATGTGTAATAATTTGTCTGATAGGAATGTCCATTGACTGTTGTTTCACAAGTCAGAAGCCCTATTTCTTTGTAGGTTGCTTTTGATATGACAAAGCCCTTCCTACTGTCCCAGATTATTCTTTTTCCATCCGGAATTAAGGTGTCATGTGGAAACTGAAAAGGAAGAAACATACTTTAGCAAAATCTTATCAGCACTGCGGCAATCCTGTTTTACTAGTAGTTTGTGAAAACATAATTTTCATCTAAAATGAAAAGAGTACAGGGAAAAACTATAACTGGTTATAATTCGTTCTTTGCTTTTCACATCTACTGGAATATATTTGTATTATGATAAATTAGAGTAATTTTAATAATCCATTATTAGCCTCGGTAACAAGCAACACCCACTCAGGATAGACTTATTCGTCATGTCAGGCTTTTTTAAGGGAGCCTGTAATTCCTGGGCCTCTGGGACTCTTCATAATAAGTCGGTCTGATACTCAGTAGAGAAACCAATTTACATTTTTTTTCCACGGGGGCTGCTAGATTATCCTCATGTGTCCTCCTTGTCTGGAGCTCTTAACAAGTCCATTCTGCATAGTTTACTAACAAGGTGGCCATCTTGAAAGGACTATACATAACTAAAAGTTCTCCAAGATTCATAACATCATCTTGGCACTCCTTAGAGTTACCATCCTTAGAATCTCGCTGTGTTACAAGGAAGGCCTCCTATTTGCCTCAAGGAGAGAAACCCCCAGAACAAAGCCTCTGTGATGGAGTGCTCTCCAGTTCCTAGTCATATTCAAAATTACAGTGAATTCCAAAGAAACGAATCCACGAGTTGATCCTTTCCTTCTGCCTTCTGATATCTAGGATTTAATTTTTAAAGACTCCATCGTAAACACTATCTCTTCGGCTTAAACTTTTTTTTTTTTTTAGCAGAGTTTTGCTATAGGGCACGTGTGCTTGCCAGAGAGACAGGAAGCGAGAAACATCCCCACCTTGGGGGAATGGCCATGCCACAATCCCTTTTCCTTCATTCTCCTCTTGGTATTTTGGGCATGCACATACATGTGCCTGGTGTAAGTTTTAAGTCGCAGAGTCTAGGACTCAAACCACGGTCGAATACATGGGAGTCCAGTGACGTAACCATTATGCCATCTGCTGGTCCTGGGTTCAAGCTTTATAAGGGGTCATTGCTCCCTAGAGAGGCCCAGCCAAGTTCACTAATGCCAACAGCCAATGTAAGTTCAGAGGGTAGACTCTGAGCACCACGTCACTTATTTTCAGTCAGAAGAGGAAAAAGAAAGTGATTCTAAAGGAAATGCCAAACTGCCATCAGGTTTGAACCTTTTCTATTTCCTCTTAAAAAAATGCACCTGATGGGACCAGCAGTTAGCATAATGGCTATGTCGCTGGACTCCCATGTAGTTGACTGCAGTTCGAGTCTCGGACCTGGTGGCTTAAAACTCACACCGGGCTCGTGTGCGTGCGTGTCCAAGATCCCGAGAGAATGGAAAAGGGATTGCGGTGTGGCCATCCCCCCGAGGGGTGATTTCTCGCTTTCTGTCTCTCTGTCTCTGTCTGTCTGTCTGGCAAGTGCACACGTCCTATGGCAAAAACCTCTCAAAAAAAGGAAGCAGCTCCTGGGCCTTTTGTCTGGCCAGTTATCATTTACTTACATAGTTTGTTGAAGGAACTAATCTGGAGTCGTGATCCTATGCAGAAATTGCTGGTCTAAGTCACTTGGGCCTTTCTCTCAGTGACTGTGTTCCTATTGGTATATGGCCCTAGTGTCACTTAGGGTTTGGAATTAACCACGTCCTTTTAAAGAAGAACTGAACGCAATCAAAGGATTTATTTCATGTTTTAGTAAATCAAGATTCTGTCTGCAAACTTAGATATGCTTTCTGCACCAGGGAGGAAAAGAACTTTTTCTTGTAATTTAGAGCAGTTAAGAAAAGTCTAAGTCAAGGATTGAAATCTATAATACTTTAAATATAAGTGAAAACAAGCATGTGCCAATCTAAAAGAAGGATTTGCTGACAGACTTCCTCTGCTCAACTGAAGAATATATTAACATTTTCTCTCAAATGTTTCTGTTACTCTAACCTACCCCTTACTGCCACTAGTTGTATTCCATTGACAAAGCATTTTCAGCTGACAAAAGCTAAAACAATGGAAAACTATGTTGCCCATCAGCTGTGGCCACGACCTGCATGTGTCATAAACACATGGACAGAGGGAACATGGTTTCAACCTCCCAAGAAAATGAGGGGCCTCTCTCTATCTGACCATGGCTCCACCAGGTATGGGGAAAGGAGAGCGGAGGGACGGCAAAGGACAGAGGAAAAGGGACAGTAAGAGAAATGGAAAGAAAAGAAGATTAATTTATTCTTTAATAAATGTATTAATAAGTTTAATAAATTTAATTCATTAAATTAAATGTATTTTAATTGAAAATTAATTTGAGAGTGACAGTAAGAAAAGAAAACAATAAGAGAAATTGAAAGAAAAGATTAATTTAATGTCAGCATAAATATGAAATAAGTTAGAATGTTTCCAAGGGTCCAGCAGGTGGCATGGTGGCTGGACTCCCACATGGCCCACCGCATTTTGAGTCTTGGACCTGGTGGCTTGCTTTCCCTCTCTCTCTCTGATGAATTAAATAATAATAATAATAATTAATAAAATTAAATAATTCTTTTTAAAAAGAATATTTTCAGTATATATGTGCCAAACCAAGATTCTTGTTAGAATTTTATGCTGCTGTCTATTTTTAAAAGTTGTGCATTGTCAGGGAACCAGCAGATGGACTAATGGTTATGTCGCTGGACTCCCATGTAATTGAATGCAGTTTGTGTTTGAGATCTGACAGCTTAAAACTCACAACTGGTGCATGTGCATATGTGCCCAAAATTCCAAGAGAAGAACGGGGGGGAGGGGCAGAGAATGGATTATGGCGTGGGCATCCCCCCCCGGGGGGGGGTGATTTCTCGCTTTCTGTCTCTCTGTCTCTCTCTCTCCAATGAGTGCAAGTGCCATATAACATAAACCTCTATCTCAAAAAAAAAAAAAAATTGTGCATTGTAGATCTTAGGCAGAAAAATAGAGTAAATAAACTTCCCTGTCCCAAATTTTTACAAGTGAGAATTCTGGAATGTTCCTTGTGATGGAAGGAGAGAGGTGCCCTTTTTCAGTAGTCTTTTTCACGTTAATCACATAGCAGTTATTATCTTGGCTAAGGATTAACACCACACTACTGAAAACAAGCCTTGATAATATTGGGTGTTAAATAAAGAATGCTAACAACTAACCTTTAAATAGAGCTTATCTTGTGCCAGACACTGTTCTAAGTGCTTTCCATGTCACCTCATCCAGCCTCCTAATAACCGTGTGAGGTGGTACTACTGTAACCACCCCATTCCTCAAATAGGGACACTGAGGTGGAGAGAGATTCAGTAACATGTTAGCTTGCCCAGCAGGTAAGCAGCCATGTGGTGAGAATCCAGGCAGTGCGAGATGGATCTCTGCTCCAAAACACTCTGGTCTTCCTCCTACACAAGCTACACCATTAGAGAAGAATGGCAAGAGCACTGAAGGAGAAGTCCAGCTTCTGACTCTAATGCCCACTATGGCCTGGGATGCTCTCTCATTCTGGGAACTACAGTTTTTCACCATCTCAGGAGTTTGACTCCTCTGGTGTTTCCAACTCTGTCAGCTAATGCTTTTCTATTTCCTGGCCAGGACCCACTGATGTAATGGAAGCCTAAACTTGTCTCCGGAGGACTATACTGAGGGCTTCCATCAGGTTGACAACATGGGAGAGTGACTGTAAGGGAAGAGGACAAGGAGACACCTCCATCACACTTGGGGCCTGAGGAGCCCTGGGTGATGTTGAACATCACACTCCACACTTTTTCAACCTCACTACCACTCACACCACCATGGCCAGGCCCCTCCCAAGTACCTGCTGTGTGATAGGCAGTGGGAGTGCTGCCTTGGAGAAGACTTAACTTTTTGTCTTAAAGCTCTCTTCTCAGGACTTGGTACAGTTTTCCATTAGGGGAGTTTTTATCCAATTCTTAGTCCCAGTAGATGTCTAACTGTTGTTACTGATTAATTAGCTAGGACGTCACATTTTAATTTTTGGTTTTAGTCTACTTTAAATCATTTTCCTTTTCCACATGTACAATTTATAACATGATACGAAGAAAAATTTTATGCGTGGCTTTTTTCCCCTTTTTTCTCTAAATGGCTATGGTCGGGTGCCCAGCCTTCTTGTCACCAGGAACTTTCCAGCTCAAGGCATGAAGCAAGGGCATCTGAGGCCTGCAGAAACAGGCTCCTGCAGACAGTCCTGCCTTCAGCAATAACCGGGGTGAACCACCCGCTGCCAAGTCGTCCATTTGGGGAAGCTTGAACGGGTTTTTCTAACATCTGCAGACATTGGGATTTGTGGCAATGCAGAAAATTTTTCATGATCTTCTTTCTTTCATTATTTATAGATTTATGCTTAAGACATTTATCACTTTATTCTATTTAAATGAACGCCTAGGAATAACTTCTATACTTATACTTAATAGTAAAGGGATGTTGCAGAAAAATCCACTGCAAAACCCCAATGTCTGTAAAAAATAATTCCAGAGGGATAAAATGATGAAAACTTTATTTTACTCATTTGCAGTAAACATATCCTGAGTAGCAATGCTCAAGTTTACCTTTTTTAAAGTAACCGTGATGTTAGGTGATGTGACCCGGCAGGGAATGATGAGCTCCCTTCCTTCGGTCATACGTATAATTTTGGGTATTTCACTGTACATCTCTACGAAAGGTCGATCTGCATCTGAATGAGAAACAAAATGAAAAAAAGGTATATAAATATAAGTAATCGAAATACAAACATCTGGACATTTTAGCTGGTGAGGTAATCTGGGCACTGCCGCAGCGACATCGTTCTCTCCTTCACGTACTCCACAAATGTACATTGTCTTTGAACTTGACACTCTGTGTTTCTACCCAGAAAAGGAAAGCTTCTCGGATGAAACCTAATTTCTTATTTGTTTCTTGGCCTTGGCCCAGACTGCACAGTTACCCACATAGGCAACTGTGACAGGGGAGGACCACTGTGGGGAAAAGTCATAAAAGTCTAGTGGGTGAGAAAGAGAGTATTTTGCATAAACTTCTTACCTCAGCTATGTTAATGCCCCAGGAAGCACCCTCCAGAGCCTTTGTAAGAACTCAGGAGGTGTAGATGCAGAGGTGAGAGTCAACCCTCTTCAGAGAGTTAGAGGTGATGCAGAAGTTCAGCCAGTTGGGAAATGTATTATCATTTGAATGAAAGAAGCAAGACTTCTAGGTTTTCTAGACCTTTCCTGGCAGACTAATAATGATGTGAATGTCTAAGCTGCTTAGTGGGAGAGGTGGCATTGAATACTGCATTTATTTCACTTGTATATTAGGTCTGTTCCTTTACTATGCACAATTTATCTACCCAGCGCTTAGAGGTGCAAAGAGGGTTGGTAAAGGCTTTTGCAGTTGAGAAAGGGGATGCCAGGAGGTGCAGTGAGCTTTCTAGATGAGCAGAGGCTGGAGGCTCACTTCTGTCTCCAATCCTAGGCTCTTTAATCTCTGGCTTCCTTTTCTTAAGGCAGATCCTACGAAGGGCTGCAGGTAGCAATGTTTTTTCAGAGATGGAGACTGATTTCCACATGTTCAGTGGGGAATGTAAGTGCCATGTCATACTATAGTGTTAGAGGAATTCGGAGAAGGGAACAATCACCAAGGGGTAGGACCGTGAGGGCTGGCATCACATCGTGGTGCTGAGTCCACACTTCACAGCCTGAATTTGAATTCTAGTTCTGGCTCTTTCTAGCTGAGTCACCTTGGGCAAATGATCTTCTGTGTCATCTGTAAAATCTACTTAGGAGAGTTATTATGAGGATAACATGAATTTTTATATATATATATATATATATATATATAAAACGCACTTAGAATGATGCCTGGCAGATAGTATTATGTATGTATTAGCTCTTCATTTTGTTATTATTATGAGAGATTTGAACTTAGGGAGAGAGGATATTAGTTAGAAATGAAAATAAAAAATTATACTCATCATCTTAACTATAAAAATAATAAATAGCCACATGGTGGATAACAAAAAGACTGGAAATGAATACACTACAATGTTGACAATGATTATCTTTGGGTAGTGTCTTTATGGCTTGTTACTTTTTTATTTACATTCTTCTGTATTTGTCAGTCTCCTAGAATGATAATATATTATTTTATAACCACTATTGTAATTATTAAGGTTAAAATTCAAATTACAGCGCATGATCTATTTTTACTAAAGGAGAACCATGAATTTTGCATTTGAGTTCGTTTTGTCCTTTAGAACGGATTGAGACATTAACTGTCAGTAAAGTTATGTGTTTTTTAGGAAATCTCAACGAGTGTAGTAACATATACAGAGAGGAAAAGTTCATTATACAGAGACAAGGATTCCTTATCAGCATTAAATTCTTCCTCTAAATAAAGTTGCTGAGCTAGACATTCAGTCAGAGACTACTGGGATTTGATCACTCCTTTCCTTCCTCCCGTGAGTCTATATTTTTGTCTCCTTTGTTGAGTCCCAAGGTAAACACAAACACCAGGAAATGGTTTAGTTCATTTAACTAAACTGTAAACCCTTCATATTTAATTTATTGTCTCCTAAAGCAACCATTTTTAACAAAGGACACAGGCATAAAAAGTTCCTACAGGAAATGGTAAACATCAGTGTAGTTGTTTGTAGGCTAATGAACACCAATCCCAGATGAAAATAGAAGGGGCTAATTCAGTATGCCTCTGAACTTCTTCTTACCCTTTGTCATTTGTTTGGATCCTCAAAACACTTAAGTTGTACTATGCCAATTGGCTTTGAAAAGCCAGTACCAATTTCTGCACTGGACCTGTTACAGTTCTGTTCAAAGACGGTCAGAACTTCAATGACATGCGTCTATTCAAACGCAACTTAAAACACATTATTTGTACGACAGGCGACAGGGTCATAAATTTACTGCTTGGAAATGAGGTTCTGATCGTGGATGCACACACTACTCTCTGGGCTTATTAATAGTATATTTCCTCTACAGTTTACTTCAAGGAAGGGCTAAGAATGAACTTGCCTGACATCTTATAACACAAACATATTTTGTTTTGTGGGACCATAGATACAGAAGAGGTCACAGTTCCATTAATATCACCAGTAAAACCACTTACTACTCCCATAGGACATATCTGTCTTTGTCACAAAATTAAAAATGACTTCCAAACCCAGCCAGCACTGCAGAGCAGTTTCCTGAGACCAAATTGGCTGGTTGTTGAAAAAAGTGAGGAAGAACTGCTCCAAAGACTGCCAGTGTCCTAAGAGCTCAGACATACTGTCACCAGGGACTCATGCCAATACAGCTAGGTAGAGGTCACACTGTCCCCACCTCTCTGAACTCTTAGAGCTCAAAGCAGTGACAGGAAACTGGCACAGAATATGATGTTTTCTCACCCAATGGGAGTATATGGGTTGTCACTTATCCTTCAGGACACAAAGTGGGCTCAGATACAAATAAAGATCAAACGGGGACCCTTGCTTAGAATGGAATTGTGTCTATTTTTAAAATACGGTTTTTTGCTTTTGAAATCTAGAATCGTGCTGGCACAGGAAGGCACACAGGCATAGACGCATGCCATCCCTATTCTTTTCCATTTCCAACTGACATCACCTGGGAGTTCTGCTAGGTTCAGAGCAAGAGAAGGAGGACCCCAAAACTTAGGGAACCTTTCAGGTTAGAAACTTGAAGAGAGGCTTAAGAGTAAGCATATTGTTTTTTAGCATGTGTACATTTTTAGGATTTTTATAAACTTTAAAAAAATTTCTTATTACTTGCATTTTTCTTACCTCCAAGTTGAGGTAAGAAAAATGCATCCTCATGAGGATGCCTAATTATTTTTAAAAGAGGATGTGATTTTCATTTACTGAGAAATGAAACAGTGGGGATAAGAAAGTAAGTCCTGTGAAGAGGGCTCCATTTAGACATAAGAGGTTTTATGTCATGTGGGGTCTTCATATTGGGAACCATAGCTAAGACTTGAAAAGAGTATGCTGACCGGTGAAATACTTCATTTGAAATATGAACAAAAAAAGGGAAATAAGGTAAAATTTTCACTGAGTTACACTGTCCATCAAAGACTTTGCTCATTCAGAACAGAGCTTTGGAGAGCAACTGCAAGAAAGCTGGAGTTGCTATTATATATTAACATGACAAAGTTGGCCCTGCCACTTGGTTTAACACTGTAAAAATAAATTAATTAATTTTAAAAAAAACACTGAAAAATCAATCAATGTAATTAATACACCATATCAGCAGAATGGAAACAAAATATCAGTCCCTGTGGTAGCACTCACAGGGAGTGGAGACTGCTGCTTGGCAGGCTGAGGCCAAATGGGAGGCCCATGTTTGACTCCTGGGACACCTAAACAAAGCTGGGTATGGTATTGCATGCCCACGGTCCCACCTACTTGGAAGGCTAAGGTAGGAAGATCATGATGCAGCAAGACCCTGCCTAAAATACCGCATGCACGCGCGCACACATGCATACACACACACACACACACACACACACACACACACACTCACACACCACATGACCAGGTCAATGATGCACAAAAGTATTTGACAAAAATCCTTTCATGACAGAAATACTCAGTAGAGTGGAAATAGACCAGAACTTCACAAACATTACAGAATCCCCACAAGGAACATGCTTAGTGATAAAATACTTGATATTTTCTGCCTAAGATCAAGAACAAGACAGGATTATCCACTCTTGCTATTTCTATTCAATAATGCATTAGAGAATATAGCCATAATAATTAGATAGGAAAAAGAAGTAAAAGATGTTCAGATTAGAAAGATCAAAATCATGTAGTTACTTTAGAATAGGTAACATGATCTTGTATATAGAAAAACATGGCCAATTAAGGTTCAAGTCCCAGATTTGGCAGCTTAAAAATCAAAGTGGGTATGTGTGCATGAGTGCTCAAAATCTCAGGACAAGAATGGAGAAGAAGGGACTGTGGCATAGCCATATCCTTGGGAGATGATTTCTCATTTTCTCTCTCACTGTCTCTCTCTGGTGAGCACATGCACCCTATAACAAAAACCTAAAAAAAGAAAAAAGAAGCCAGTCACAAAAGATCATTTATTATATGATTCTGTATATTTAGTATCCAGAAGAGGCAATCTGTAGGGACAGAAAGCAGAATAGTGGTCACTTAGGGCTGTGTGAACAACATACACACCTCATACATGGCGATATGCATGTTGATTAGAGGAAAATTCCCTTGAAAGGGAATAGGGATGTCATTTTTTAAATTTACAGTTAAGATCTAAATAAGTTCATTGAAGATTTCAAGAAGAGTGGAATGCCAAATATATACTTGCTGGACCACAATATCAAGAAAGAAACAGGGAGAGCCAACGGCTTGGTGGTTAAGGTGCTGGACTCTCAAATAGACAACTGTAGTTCGAACCCCAGAGCCAGCAGCTTGAAAATCATGCCAGGTGCATGTTCAGGCATGCTCAAAATCCTGAGAGGAAAATGGAGGATTCTGAAGTGCAAACTAAGCAATAGGTCTGGCACCAGCTTTATAATAGATAATATATATTTATTCACACAGTTCTAGACTGAATTTTTTTTTTTATGAATATAGAGTTAACTAAAAGCCTAAAGTCTTCCCATGTATGCTGTTTTAGCCATTTTTTCCTCCACACAGTACTAGAGTAGTTGGTGTTTTGCAACCTA